AGAAGCAACTAGTAATTATCAACAAAATTCGATCAATATACGTACTCGGCCCTCCTATACTCGAATTCTGGCTCCGCCACTGGTGGAGAAAGTAAGACGTACAGCAGGTTAGTAATGATCCTGAAATAATCAAGCGGCAGATCGATGCATGGTATATACCGTGCATGGTAGAAAATGCACTCTCGTAGTAGTTGGCTGTAGAAATTTCCTGTGAACACCTAGAGTCATCACTACTAGAGTCTGCAGCAAGTCTCTCCCCTGTCTGCTTTTTCACACTGCCATTGCATGTTCAAAGGGTATGATGAGACGCCCGGAATAGCAAAACTGCCACTATCACTGCGATGCATCATCCATGGCCAGTTCCGGGCTCGCCGTACCGGAGGAAGCTACGCGGAAGGCTCCGGCCAAAGCAGCTCTATTTGCACACGGCTCGGCCTTGCTGCCTTTGGGGACAGTACGCGTTTCGTCTGCTCAGTCCTCCTCCTGCGCTGCTACAAGCACCACCATCGCCAGTTGCAACCCATCCCATCCCACCAGCGCGCGCACGGACCGAGACCGGCAATGGCGAGCTCGGCGCCTCCCTTCCTCTCCCTCCTCCTCCTCGTCCTCGTCGCTGCTGCCGCGGCGGCCTCGGCCTCGGAAGAGCGCCCGCGCGTCACCCCCACCTTGGTCCAGTGCCACCCTCCGCAGGCGCAGGCAACCGCCAACGCCAGCAGCGCCAAGAACGCCACGGCATTCCGCGCCAACGTGATGTCCCTCCTCGCCAAGCTTCCCTCCGCCGCGGCGCCCACGGGCTTCGCCTCCCTGCGCTCCGCCGGAGTGGTCGGACGCGACGTCGCGTTCGTCCGCGGGCTCTGCTTCGGGTACGCCACGCCGTCCCAGTGCCGCGAGTGCCTGGCCGCCGCGGCCAGGAAGCTCGCCGACGCCTGCGGCGCCCGCGGCCGGCGCGCCGGCGTCTGGACAGACGGCTGCTTCGCGTCCTACGCCGACGTGAACCCCTCCTCGCCCAGCTACGACGGCTTCCGCGCGCGCATCATCACCGGTGCCGACGCGCTCATCACCAGCACCTCCTACGAGCTGCAGAGCCTCGCCGACCTGGCCTGGCGCATGGGGCCAGTCGCGGCCACCAACGCGGGGATGCAGGTGGCCGTGGACTGGACAGCCGCGGCGAGCGACTACAGTAAGAACAGCACGGTGCGCGTGCTGGCGCAGTGCGCGCGGGACCGCACGGCGGAGGAGTGCGCGTGGTGCGTCCAGTACTCGGCGCGGGTGGCGGAGACCTGCGCCTGGTCCTGGTGCCCCCGGCAGTCGGCGCGGGCGGGGGACACCTGCTGCTGGGGCCTCGACGCGTGGCGCGACGGCGTGGCCGGCGCCGTCGTCGGCTTCGACTGCTACCTGCGCTTCGACGTCGCCGTCGCCACCGCCACTGCGCCGGCGCGGGTGCCCCTGCTGAAAAGGATCGGTGAGCAGAGCACACTGCACAATCTCCTCCTCCTCCTCCTCCTCCTCCTCTTCTTGGCTAAGTAGAACAGAGTCGTGGAGAACATTTTGATCTGATCACGGTGGACACAATGGGTGCAGGGAAGTTGATGAACGATCACCCTGTCCTCGCCGCGGCGTTCGGGATAGTCGGCGGCGGGCTGGCCGTGGCAGCATTCTACGTGCTGATTGAGGGGATCTGCCGCTGGATGGAGAGCAAGATCAGGCCCGTCAACAACGCCCCAGTTGTGCCAGTAGCAGGTACGTACAATCTTCTCCACTCATCTGTGCCAGGGATTCAAGGAAGGATGTTCTTTCTTTCTCTCATGTTCAAATTCTAATTTAGCTGAGTGCATTTGCTGGATGTGCATTGCAAGAGATGGATGATCTGAACCTCCAACGTGTTATGCTCTGCTCAAATCTGAATACAGATGTAACTGCGTCTGAATTGCACGTCTCCTTGCAGTTGCAGGGCCGGCGGCCGTCCGGGCGGGAGTGGAGATGAACCCCCCGCAGCCGCAAGCCAGGGTGATGGACTGATGGTTTGATTTCAGCAACCGCTCGGCGATCGATCTGCACTGCGGCAGCAACATACTCCAGTAGCCAAGTCTGTAAATAGTTAAGCATGCGTGCACTAAGCAGCAGTAGTAGCAGCACCAGCAGTACCGACTCTCGACTCTTGATGCTGCTGGTCTTCGGAATCCAGACTTAATTCGTGCTTGCAGATCTCTTATATATAGGAGTAGAAGAGAAACATAAGTATTAAACCTTTAATCCTCGATCCACCGTTGATGCCCGTGTTACGATATATGGGAGTTATTCTCAGCTATGAAGTTATCATGAACTAGTAATATGTGAGTTGCCAACTGTTTACATACTGTTATGGGCTCCAAAACTTATCTCGGCTTTTTTCTTTCTGAACAACAAAAACTTATCTCAGTTGGGTGTTGTCGTTTTGTTTACCAGATGATACCCACACATTGTTGCGGGAATATTTTGCAACATTTTCAATGAGATTCACCGCATGAAACATGGATATTTTAAGTAATAAAACATATATAAAAGCTTATTGTGTTCGATTATTGTTAGTTGTAAAATATTTATTAAATATAAATAACATAATGAAATGAAAATTCTCATGCATGTTTGCATGTTGAGGTGAGTCTTTATCCATACATACATGCACTGGCGGAGGGCTCCAGTGGGCAGGGTATGGCAGCCGCCATACCTTGATTTCGGGCAAAACAAATTTAATACGTATGCTTCTACGGATCTACCGATCGACAAACTCTGGACTCGTTCGACTGCATCGCCGGTACAGAGCCTGATGGGCCGACGCATCCAGGCTGTTGGGCCAGTAGCGGTGCCCCGTGGAGATCGACCACGGGCAGGATCGGTTCGATCGAGCGCCTACGAACCAAAAAAACGGCACACACGCACGCTCTCCAGACGCGACGCAATCCAAAGGCCAAAGCTAGCGCGGCGGCGGCGGCTGGCCTGGTCGCGAGGACAAGGCGGGCGACCAACGAAGGCGGCAGGCTGGGGGCTTAAAGGGCTGCGGCAGCAAGCTTCAGCGGTGGCTCCAGCGCCGCTCCAGCGAAGGCAGCAAGCGACATCTTCAGCGGCGGCAGCAACTGATGGCTCCAGTGGCGGCAGCAAGCTCCATTGGGATTTTCCTGGCAATTCCTAGGTAATTCCCCAGGGTCCGAACCAGAGACTAGTTGCGGCCACTTTGTTTAGGTATTGCCGATTTTTCTTCTATCAATTCTCCAGGATCTGAAGTTCCGAACCAACTGCACTAATTCTGAATATAATTGTGTACTGTACAAACAAGTTTCTGTATTTAGATGATTGTACGTATAAGCTAATAAGATGCCCAGCCTGTGTTGTTCTGTCCAGATTACTAGAAGATGGATAGAAAGGGGAATGGACTAGTAAATCCAAAGAAAAGGGGAAGAGGTAATTTCTCTTTGTCCTGAAATTTTATAGCAATTTTGAACAGCAACTTCAAACCTTAAATTCAAGCAGATTGTAGTGATATATTAATGTTGTGATTGCAGATTTGAAGAAGTATTTTGAAGTATTTGGTAGTGGCAGCAGCTCAAAATCAAATCCAAGCACCCGTGAAAGTGTCAATATTTCGGCACATGCCATTGAAAGCTTCATTATCGATATATTTTAGGTTGCTTTCCTATTGAAACATGCCTACATATTCATTGTATTTGGTTTTTGGTTTGTAATTTGTCTTAACTCTTTTGATTTGCATCAAAAGAATTATTTTCTTAAGACTTCGCCACACCTTAAATTTTTTTCGTCCTCCGCCTCTGCATACATGTTGCATAATAGTGTGACATGCTTGCATGTTGAAAAAATAAGTTGGTGGAGGTGGGCCTTTTTCCCATGCATGTTACGTGATGAGGTGGCGTGCTTGCATGTTGAGAGAAATAGGTTGGTGAAGGTGGGCCTTTTTCCCATGCATGTTACGTGATGAGGTGGCGTGCTTGCATGTTGAGAGCAATAGGTTAGTGGGGGCTAACTATTTAGATATAAAAGATGCCATTAAGTTACCTGGCTATTCATAGGCAATTATGATGAAAACTAAAACTTCTTTGGACTGTTTTAGCATTTTTTTCCCGAGCTCCGAAGTTATCATCCGGTAATATGCCAATTACCATATTTGTCTTACATTCTTAAAAAGTTGATCCTCACTACTAACAATTCTCTCTACATGCACACCATCCACATCAGCATGATGCCACATCTGCGTTCAATTTTACAAAAATCTGCCACATCAGCAGTGGTCAACAACCAAGCTGACATGCTCTGATTCTTTTTTTTCCTGAGCGCAGTCTATTCCTACTCTCTCTGCATTCAGTTTTCTTTTAAATAGCAAGCACTGCAGCCCATTACTCCATCAACATGCAGCCCATTATTATTCACGATGGACAATACAGGAAACTGATGAATGCGTCCAAATTTTGTGTGTGGTCGTCTTCCCTTCCTATTCCGGTGTCACAGCATAATCTCTTTCCCTTCCTATTCCACCTCCTCACTTCTCACAAAGAAATAATGCCTCTCCTTGCCCAGCATGCACAAGTGATCACGTCGCAGGCGAACCGAGTTTTTTCCCCACGAGCCACGATTGCCCACTATCAATGCAATCATCTTAGTGCCAACCATTACCGGTGTTTAGTGGAGTCTTTTCCCATTCACTGCAAGCAAGCCTTCTCCTCTTCCCATCATATATCTCCTTGAGATGCAACATTGGATCCACCTGGTCGAGCCAAGCGCCGGCTTGCCTCCGTCATCATGGGAAGCTCCAGGGAACCGAGGCAGGATTATGGTACCCCTTCCCTCCTACCTGACGACCGGGGCTTGCTCTCTTGCACAGTTGCAGACCGACGTCAAACTCAAGGTCATATCTATTCTTCCCGGTCGCAGCCAAGTACCACCACAGTTTATCTGGTTATATTGTAGGCCCTCGCACATTTTCCTTTTTGTGTTCCGCAGATCCTGCTACCTTTTTGCCGACGTCCGGCCAGCGTCGGCCACAGCACACAGGCACGCGCATGCTCAGTCGAAGAAGCAGTCGCGGCTTAGCAAAGGGAGCCCGTGGCATGGGCTGGAGAGCAGGTCGCAAAGGGCGAGGCGGTCGGCGCTGGGCTCCGCCGTCTAAGGGCATCTTCAGCCGTTCGGTTCCCCAGGGCGTCTAAATAGAGCGGCCTGGGGGCGTGCCGGTGCTAGTTCGGTCCCTGGGGCGACCTAACTCCCAGTCACGCCCCCCAGCACCGGTCCCAGGATGCGGGGAAATTTAAACTTGGTCGTTCTCATTCTTAAAAGACGCCACAAATTCGGCGATCGGACGTAGTCTGGCGTTACAAAAAAACAGGGCGCCGCACGCCGCAAGTTCGCGTGCGCAATGATTCACTCGGCGGGGTCGGTGCCAGGCGTTGGCGGAGTCGGCGTGCGCGGGCTCGGCGGTGTCGGAGCTGCTTCGGTGCTGGGCTGTGTCGGCGCGGTTTCGGCACTGCTGGGCGGCGATGTAGAGGCGTCGTTCAGGCTTGGCGTCCGTGTGGTCGTGGGCGATGGAGCTTGCGTCGTCGGTGTTGCCGTCGACAGCTCGCTCAGGATGAGGCCGCGCTGCACCAGGTACCACGTCTTGAGCTTCTCGTCGTTGCTCTGGAGCATGTCCGCCCCGCCCATCAAAAAAGCCATGTCGGTGTTCCTCTTCTTCGCAGCGACGTTCGTCCGGAGCAGGTCGAGCTTGATGGCGTTGTTCTTCATCAGCGACGACCACCGCGCCTCGGTCTTCTCTTCGCGTAGGACGGCCCGGGCCTGGGCGTCGCCGAGGTGCGAGAAGGGCAGCGGTCCACGGTAGAGATGGGGCGTCGGTGTGGACGCGTAGGCGGCGGGCAGCGAGTAGTTGTATGGAGGGTACTGCACGCCGACGAAGGCGGGCGAGGGCGTGCGCGTCGCGGGATGACCATGAGGGAAGGTCACATTTGGGTTGAACCCACCGTGCGCGTCGCCGTTGGCGTAGCCGGGTGACGATGAACCCCATGGAGATCCAACGCCTTGCTGTCCCCAGGGCGCGTACTGGGCGTGGCTGACGACGGGTGGATTCATCCCCGCCTACTCGACCGATGAGGAAGACCGCCGCCGCGCGCGCCGCGTTGTCGCGGGCCTTCTTGGCTATGGCCCTGTTCCGCCGGTCGGCGGTGACTGCTTCGCGTCGCTGAACTTCCATCCTCCACTCGGCGTTCGACAGGCCCGGTGGCTTCGATGGCGGCGCCCTCGGCTTCCTCTGCTTCGGCTGGGCCACGGCGCCAGTCGCGGTTGCCGCCGCGCGGCATGGCGTACTTCTTCGGCGGCATGGCGGCGACTGGAAGGCGAGCGGGAGGGAGTTTGGCGGGAGAAAGGGAGAGAATGGCGGGAGGAAGGCGAGCGAACGGGAGAGATGCGAGGAAAAAGCGTCAAGAAACGGCGGGAAAAGTCCCTCGAATCGCCACCAGGGCGGACACACGCGCCTTTTTGCTTGTGCCGGCTCCCCAAGCGCCCCCCCAGGGCGCCGGGTTCGGACTGGGTCCGCCGACACCAGTTTTGACCCGAGCCGACGAAAAACGGGCTTCTGGAGGCGCGACTGTGCCGTTCTTTTTACGCCGGCGCGGCAAAAACGCCTGAGAAGGATCTGTTGAGGACGCGGCTGGAGATGCCCTAAGCGCATGAGGAGGACGCCACGGTGCTACGGGAACGGCCCGCCATGGTCTTCGAAGAGGCCGGCGGTGCCGGGGACCAAGGAGCCGATCGAGCGAAGACAACCGCAGCGTGTAGATGAAACTCGAGACCGGTGGACCTTCCCCGCCATGGCAGCACTCTCTGCTTCGGAAGCCAAAAAGGGAGCAGCAGTGGCAGGCGCTCCCCGGCTCGCGGCGGCTCGGTGATGAGGGGGCGGTAGCCGCCAGCTCTTGCGCGCGGCGCGCACCGAAAGAAGTGAGCGGCGCCAAACACGCGCGCCAGGATCTCCGGATGTCAAGCACGAC